GATCAAGTTATAATTTTTGAAAAATAATGAATATCATTATTTGTGATTTGATTAATATATATGATAGTGTGTAAGGTCTCCTGTAGATATCATAGATATGTAAAACACACTTAGTTGTCAATCAATTCAATGATAATAATAATAAGAATGATGAATTAAGACAAACGAATTAAAAAAAATAAAAAATAATGAGCGAATAGCAACAATACAAATAAAAAATAGAGCGCCTGTCAGAAAACGAAAAATAAAAAATTCTTGATTTTACACCTGTATTTCGTATTAATATAACGAAGCTGAAGAACATATGTGAGTTCCACATTTCAGTCCCAAAGGGGCTGCGCTAACAAGCTTTTAATTCATTTAAAAAGAAAGATAATTCTAGTAATATATTCTGTTTACTGAAATAAAAAAAAATTATAATATCAACTTATTTTTATTAAAAAAAATATTTAACTTGATCATATTAATTTAATTTAATTTTTTGGTTAAATTCTAAATGAATATCCCAAAGAATATTTCTTTGAAAGGTTTTAATGCAAAATAAAATTTGATATATTATATAAAATTTATTTTCTCTTATCTAGAAAAAGAAAAAAATTCGAAATAATTTCATTTTTTAGTACTGAATTAAAATAAATTAAGAAAGTAGCTTATAATATTTACAGAAATGATTTAAAAATTAAAAAAAAATAATAGATCAAAACTTTAAAAAATGAATAAAGCCAATGAGGTTTCAAAATGTTTACGGAAAAAAATTTAATAATATTGAATATTTAAGAAAAAATCACAAAAAAATTGTAGTTTGGAAAAAAGTACGATACGTCATCCATTAGATAAACGTACTAAATGATTCATCTGAACTCTCTATCGTGTCAACATCAATATAAATTGTTCTCAATGACATCTATATATCATATTCTATGTTTACAATAAATGTAGAGGTGTAAGCCGAGCGGCTGAGCCGCTGCCGCCGGAAGCCAGAAAAAAAGTTAAACATTTTTAGCCGCCGTCGCTGACAGAGAAAAAATTTACTAAAAATCACCCCGCTGCCAATCAATGTATCCGCTTATACCTCTAAATATATGGTGATATGATGCGCGAATAGAATTTTTTTCCTCTTCTGTATATATTAAACGATGGGGATATTGTTATTCTACAGTTGTACAAATATCCGTCTAACAATGCACGAACCATCAAATGCAATTCAACTTAAAGTTGATACAGAAGGCAAAATAAAATTTGATACTATTCTTTTGTACAATATTAAGGGCAACAAAGTAAGTTAATCTCTTTTTTTGCTTCTTTTTATTTCCATCTTCTTTGTTAGATTGTCTACTCAAATTTTGTCGATTTACTACCCAAAGAACTTCGTGAAGACGATCCAAGTTTACAAAAACCGTCTGAAGACGAATTAAAAGAGGTAAATCATATAATGATTATTAATTTACACTAATTTCTTTTATTTAGAAAACAGAAAAAACACGTCAAGCTCTCGAAGCTCTTGTATCATCTAAAGTATCAGCTGCTATGCCCGTTCAACATGCAGAAAAACAAGCACCCGTTCAATACATTCGTTATACACCTTCACAACAAGGACCTGCTTTTAATTCTGGTGCTAAACAACGTATTATTCAAATGGTTGAAGTTCAAAAAGATCCTATGGAACCACCTAGATTTAAGTGAATAAAGAAAATTATATAATTACATCTTCTCTATTGATTTCTATTTAATTTCATAGAATTAATAAGAAAATTCCTCGTGGACCTCCAAGTCCTCCAGTTCCAATTCTTCATTCACCTACACGAAAAGTTACTATAAAAGAACAACAAAGTTGGAGGATTCCACCATGTATTTCCAACTGGAAAAATGCTAAAGTATGAATTATTTATCTTAGTTACTTTATTTGACAATGAATAAATTCTTTTAGGGTTATACAATTCCACTTGATAAACGTTTAGCAGCCGATGGTCGTGGTCTTCAAAGTACACATATCAATGAAAATTTCGCTAAACTTGCTGAATCTGTATACACAGCTGATTTGAAGGTGAGATTTATCTTATGAATCGAAAAAAAAATATTTCCTTTTTTTTTTGGTTTTTATTTTAGGCTCGTGAAGCAGTTGATATGCGTGCTAAAGTGGAAAAACAAATAGCTAAGAAACAAAAAGAAGAAAAAGAAGAACGATTACGTGAATTAGCTCTCCATGCTCGAACAGATCGAGCAGGCATTCGTCCTGCTGGTAAATTATTTATTTATTTATCTATTTGAAATAAATGACTGTTTTTTCTTTCGATTAGATAAGAGTGATGATCAAAGTGCTGAACGTGATCAAATTCGAGAAGAAAGACAAAAAGATCGACAACGTGCTGCTGCTCTTCAACGAGCTGGAGGTGATAAACGGTAAAAAACAAATAATCTAAAGTAAAATGCTATTCTTTTTTTTCCTGTTTTTATTTTAGAAATCGTCCAAAAGAACGAGATATCAGTGAACAAATTGCATTGGGTGTACAAACTGCAAGTAGTACAGGTGTTCAATATGATCAACGTCTATTTAATATGTCGGCGGTAAGAATTTGTTTTTCATTTTCTTTCAATCGTTAAACTGCTTTTTTCTATTTGTAGGGTTTTGGTAGTAATTTGGGTGATGATGAAGCTTATAATGTATATGATCAACCTTGGAATTCCTCAACTACTGTTGCTTCTCAAATTTATAAACCAACAATAACAACAAAAGATAATTTTGATGATACTGAAGCCTTAATTAATGCTTCTAAACGATTCGTTCTTTTTTTCTTTAATTGTTGAAAGAGTTTTAATCTTTTTATTTTTTTTATTTTAGATTCGAACAAGAACGGGGTTTCAAAGGAGCTGATCGAGCAGCACCACGTGAGGGTCCTGTGCAATTTCAACGTGACGAAGATCCATTTGGTTTAAGTGATTTCTTAAAAGATGTACGACATGGTAGTGCTGGTAGTTCAGCTCCATCAGCTAATGGATCTTCTAGTTCATCGTCTAAACGTAGTAATGCAGATGATCGAGAAGAGCGAACTAGTGAAAAACGTCGCAAGAAATAAAATAATTTTACTCGTTTTTTTTTGTATATTGTGTCTCGTTATTTCCTGATGTTTTGTTGTTGTTCTTTATCTCTCTATTACTCTTCAAATTGTTTACTATAGTGAACAGAAGAAAAAAATTCCTTATATGATTTATGTCATTATTATTAGCAGTTTTTTGTCTTTGTCCCGTTTGTCTATACAACGTTTTTTGATAGAAATAAAAGTAAAACTTGCGTATATGCTTATCATCATCTCATATAGTTTCGTTTTTATTTGATAAGTCGAAGAATCTGATACATATTCAATTTAAGTATTGAAACAATCTCTTAGAATGGTTGACCATCTAAGTAATGTCAAATTGAGTCAGTTTAAATGAGAAGTATTTCATGTCAATAACATACATGCATTAAATTTTTGAAACAAAATAAATCTTTCAGCAATAAACAGATCGGTTTTGATTGATATAGACCTTGAGTCGAATGACAAAAATAATGAACCACTTATCACGTGAGATTTTTATAACAAACAATATTTACATCAAGAAATAGAAGATAAAAAAAGAAAAAAAATGATATGTGTGTCTAAAAGTAATGGAAAGAAAAAAGAACAGTGAGAAATATCGGCATGTGTGGATGATAAATTGAATTGGAAAGGAGATTCAATGGTTCGGTTGACTGCGATATCTAAACAAAATTTTCACGCAATGGTTGATTAAAGTCTCCAATCTGGATCTAAAAAAGTACACTTTTCAATCGTTCTTTTCTATCCTTATCGACCTATAGGGTGTACTTTTCCTCCGACCTACTAATCTATTGAGTACTCGGCATGTTGTTTAACACCAGTGTGGTTGTACTTTATTCTTTATATATGTTTATAGAAAAGAAACAGAACTTAAAAGGCACTTTTTAATAGTATTTTAGTATGTTTTGTATATCACTCCTTACGTTCGAGATAAAACTTAATTTTAATTAACTTTATGTACGCAAAATGTTATCAAAAAAACTGACTATTGGTAATTATTTGCTTCGACGATTGAAATCTTTGGGTGCTGATATCATTTTCGGAGTACCCGATGATTATAACTTGGTTGAGTATTTCTAATTTCTCTACGTTTTCTTATCTAAATTTGAATTCTCTTTTTTGTTCTAGCAATTTCTTGATCAAATCGAAGGTAAGATTCTAAATAAAAATCACATTCATTGACACTTTTCTTCTCGATATAGACTTTGATAGTATTCAATGGGTTGCTATTTTTATATGTATACGAACAATGAATATCTTCTTCAATTACTAGAACATAGATATCAAATCTCTCTTATAAGTTAATGAATATGACTGATGAATTAAAGAAATACTTCAATTTAAGTACCTTATATAAATATTACATTGGATGAATTCGAGTCATTTCAGTAAAATGAGTATAAGATCAAAGTGAAACAGAAGACTGTCAGAACAACGGTAAATCAAAGCTGTGTATGAATATAAAAACCCATATAAAGGTATGAATCAATAGAAATATCTACTTATTTCGGGCTTTCAAATGGAATAATTCTGGTCATGTGAAACGTTTCTTGTGTAGAGCGTCATTTATCATATCAAACTTGATATTAACCAATAAGTAACTGCATTTACCGAAGATGATTCATCAACGTTGTTCGAGACAAAAGCTGTGCTGGGTAAGCGAGTCTATAAAAGCCTAAGAAAAAACACAAGCAAATAATACAAATGCTTCTTCAATATTTTATTCAAAAACACTACCCACACCCTGTTGCTGGTTCACGTCGATTTTGCAAATTTTCTTCTAGATTTTTGTCTCTTATCTCTCAAAATAATAATGACATCTAAGTATAATGATAGTATTTTACTTATATTTTCATATCTAATTCTTCCTCTCTTTCTCATCACTAATAAAAACAAAATAATTTTCAATTTATTTAACTAGGCTCGATCATCTGTTGACAATATTGAGCAATGCAGATTCATTAGCAGTAAACCGATCAGCTGCTACATAAATTGGCCAAGTAATTAGTACACATCCAGAAGAAGTCGAACCTATTCTTAATAAAGTAAATAAAAAAGAAAGAATTATTTTATATAAAAAAAATATATATTTTTATTTAAGCTTAAAAACATGTTATTCATTCATCATGGGATGTTCGTGTTGCATATGGTTTAGCTACTGAACTTATCAGTAAAAATACATTAAATGAATTTCCTGTATAAATTTAATATTTTTTTAATTTAAAAAATAATAATCATTTATCATAGTTTTATTCAATGAAAATTCACGATATGGATTGAAATTGAATACATTTGATTTTAATAATGTTATTACTAACAGTTCAGCATTATATCTTGGTGCACATAAAATTGAAGAAATCGGAGATTATAGTTTGTATAGATATTTTGAATTGATTTTTATGAATTGATTTTGGTTTCTTAGATGGCAATGTATCAGTACAAAAAAAATTTCTTCGGAAAGAATTTAATTTTGGTTTACAAGAACGTTTAACTGGCACAGATATGCCAGTAGAAGAAAGTGATTTTAAAATCGAATCGTTTAATATCACTAATTCCAATATAAAATGTGTATGTTAAAGTTATATTGTTCTTTTCTTTTTAATATTAATTTTGTTTGCTTATAAATAAAGGTTTCATTCAGTAATTTACAACGATTTGTATTTGGTGAACAATATTTATTTATTGACCAAGATTATTCGATTGAACCAACACCTTCAAAACGATTAAAATCATCAAGCACTAATGAGAAGGTGAGATCAGGGAATATGAAAAAAAAATATTTAAAGGAAAATTAAAATTCACCTAAAATTGTCTCCAGTAATTGATCTTTCAATACACAACATACAAAAGAATCAATAATCTATTCATATACTAATGACTGAATATGAGATTTATTTTGGATCTATTTCATTTGATATTCATATTTTGCAGATGAACCAAACGATTAATCATTAATTTATAAAAGAAAATTTTTGAAAAGTATTAAGCAGAAGAGAAAGACTTTAGAATTCGTCTAATGTCTTAGAATTAATCGCTTTTGATTTATCTGTTGCAATAAACGATAATAACGCATTGACAATAAAAGAAAAACGTTTATTTTTGAAAGTATTGTGCACAGAATTTCCGATTGTTTTTTGAGAGAGAGAAAGTACCAGGGGACGGATCCAGGGGGAGGGCGGTGGGAGCACCTGCCTCCCCCTTTGGGCTTGAATTCACGTTTTTTTCTATTGATTTTCCCTGGGAATTTTCCATTCTTGTCTTATCCACATCCCCCGTTCCGCTTATCCGCCCCTCCTTTTAGAAATTTCTAGATCCGCCACTGGAAAGTACCTTCAATACGCTTTTAGTTGCTATAAAAAAAATTTAAAATAGTTAAAACTGGTTTTCACTCAGAAATTCTTTGGAAAGACAAAGCAATTTTCTGACTTCTTCTGTTCTCTAAGATAAGCATGAATCAGTACTATCTCATAGAATAAAGAAATATATTATAGAGAATCTCGAATTAATCTTTAACTGAAAAAAAATAGCAGATTTGAAAAATTAATAGATATTTCTCTGTAATTCTAGAATCAATTATCCTAGCCATTAAATGATTTTTATGATTGGTTACTTGAACAAATGTGTCAACCATCTTGGGAATATCGACATGGATCAGTTACTAGTCTTCGAGATCTTCTCAAAGACCAACAAACATTATCAATTTCGGTTTGTTAATATTTATTTTTATTCTTAAGAGCCATTGCACGTAAGCCACGACCGACAGTGCTCAATCGTATGTCTCCGATCTTATTCATTCTAATATATGTGATAGACACAACTGTTTAATGACGTTCTGCGCAAGCCGCATCAAAAAATAATGAACCTATGATTTTTTATTGAAGTTTTGCGAAAAGCTCTGAAATTCGACATCATAAAAAATTGGGTCAGTGTTACTATTATATCTCGAGAACGACTTAACGAATTGAGCTGAAACTTTGTACAAATACTGATGTCGAGCGATGCTATCACCACAGAAATTTTCAAATAAATCTGTTGCTCTTTCGATTTTCTGCAGAGACTGATTTTTGACTAAAAAATGCTATTTTAGCAATCTTTGTGGTCTCATATCTCACGACTGCTGTATGATATTATTTTGAAATTTCGGGTTTAGAAACAGCACGATCATATTTGATCACAGTAAAAATTTCAGCTTCCCCAAGCAAGGTCTTCGCTGGTGGCGAGCCTGTGAAAATTAGCATTTTTGCTGAATCGGCGATTTTGGGCTGTGATGGTCTCAAAAAATATGGGATGCCTGACCGGCGAATCATTTGGCCCTGAGGGGGTCCTATCTGGTCTACAACTTGGCGTAAA